CAGGTACATGTTTACATGTTCCCTAATGTCATTGTTGCCTCCTTACAGGGAGAAGATAGCGGTGACTGCAAAGTGGGGTTTATTGTGAATCTCTTGTGTTCTCTCTGCCCTGAGAAATAGCCCCTTAGTTCTGCACCTTGTGTAAGGGATGAAGGGCACAGAAGGAGGAAGGTGGTCAAACGAGGTGCCTTACATTGACATGCTGAACATCACTGACACACCTTCTGCCTCCTTCCTCGTCCCCTGGCTGGGCTGTGATGTACTGGATGGAGCTGGCTCAAGCTGGCTTTCAATAGCCAAGTGTCTGCTTTTCAGTGATTATCAAACAAAGCCATGATTGGAAACTAAACTGTTTAAATGTATAATAAATTATATTAAACACAAAGGTAACAAATCCTCAAAATACTCATTACTTCCAAATTCTTTGACTAAACTTACTATTATCTCTGCCATGCACATTATTTTATATTTTGTATTTGTATGGTGCTACTGAACACTTTTGCCAACTCCACTTCTGTGGCATCATGTTGTAGCTTGAAACTGACCTGGTGGGAGTGTTTATACAAATCAGGGCTTCCCCTCCACGTTCCCTTCCAGCCTGTTGTAAACTATGTAAACCATTTACTAGCACACCACTGGGAGGAGTTTGGTTTGCTCTTTCACTCTCTGCTTCCCCCATATCTGGTTTGAGCTGCTTTAGAGGGTATTAGAGGTGAGAGCAAGGATAGCAGATAGCTGTGAGAGAAGGGTCCACAGGACACTGGACACTCTTTCTCATATTTCTCTTGGGGAATCGGACATTGTGAACACATTCCCACAGGGCCAGAAGCCCCTGGGAAGAGGTGATGCAAGCTGACATCTGACTATGGAATATCTCTGATTGGCCCCATGGCCCCAGGGGAGGTCAGGCAGCAGAAGAGACTTGCTATGATTCCATGTGCTGAGTTACCTGCTCACCTAGTTAAATGTAGTCAGCTGAGCCCAGCAGAGCCCTTCTCATCACAACAGCCTTCAAACACTTGGCCCCTACTCTTCTGTGCTGGTTGAGCCTTCTTTTCTCCAAATCTAACAAGATAGGAAAGAGGGTATGAATTAAAAACATTTTTTTTTTTTTTCAAGGGAAAGGTAGCCAAAATGGTGGGATCCATCCTACCTCCCTCTTTGGTCATTGCCATTATATCATCCACTAATTCTCTTTCACCTGGTTTGAGTATGTTATCTATTAATTCTCTTTCTTATGCATATCACTCAGGTTTGAGAAAAATACCTTTAATACTATAGAAGACACATGGCAATGAGATGCTCCACTGAGTGATCTGATATTCTCAAGTAAAGATTTGGGGGGGCAGTCCTTGACCCCAAGAGAAGTATCAACACCTTCGAGGGGATTGTGCTGACTGCATGGATGAACTAATTTCTGTTACCTCTCATATCCTGTTCCCAAAATACTCAACGTCAAACATGGTTCTATAGGTGTTAACTGAGCACCACAGAACAAGGAAGGACTATCACTTTGCTGTTTTTAGATACCATATTTCTACCAAGGCAGCTAAAATAATATGCAAGTTACTATGTAAATGGAAAGTGCCTATTTCAGAAACTATGTGTCTGGAATCAAATGGAAAGTGTTGCAATAGGTATGTTTTTCTACTTCTTTATTCTAATGATGTTATTCTCTTAATTTAGACATCTTAAATTCAACTTCATGTCCACACCACTGTTATGTCATTATTAGTAATTCTAATTTCTTGTTTAATTTCCATGCAAGATAGGGCTTGCCTGTAAAATATATTGACAGAGACAGTGTTCTATATTTAGTGAGAGAGATGTTATCTATAAATTACAGGGAAATGATTGCATCAAGGTCCTCTATTGATGAAATAAACCACAAGAAAGAAATAAGTGTATGAGAGGAAAAACATCCTAAAAGTCACTAAGAACCAAAGCTGCATGACTTTTTTGCATCTGAAGATTCCTTCGCCCACAAGTATCCTCCAGGTGAATGAGCAGAATGTTCTTTATGCCCTCGGTGGGAGCAGGAGGGAGGTTAAAAGAACAGCAACAGTGTTAATAACAATTTCTTTTACATCCTGAGAAAATTATCTTCTCTATTGGATGGTTATGTATCTAAACCACAAAACCGCAGGGTAATTGGATGTGTTTCAAGGCAGGATAAGATGCATGGTGCCAATGTCCCTTTGGCTTCCATAAAACTTAGAGTTGAGAGAGTTTTTTGCCACCTATCTTGGCCATTTTTTCACTTTTCTAAATAAGGAAACTGAGGCACAGAATGGGATAGGGGTTTGCCTAGGACCAGATTTCTGACGGAGCTGGGACTACACCAAGTCTTCAGCCTCCCTGTCCCATTCTTCCCATCAAAGAAAATGAACTCTCTTAGTTTCTCTTAGCAATCAGGGCTGTCCAATAGAAACACAGTGCAAGGTCCATTGTGCTAGCCAGTAAATTATAATAGAACCTACAGAAATGAATCACTCACATAATTTTAGATTTCCTGAAAAAATATAAAAAGTATTTTAAAAAATATAAAAAGAAACAGATGGAATAAATTTTAATAATATATTCTATATAAAATCCTGTCTATCCAACATTATCCTTCTAATGTACTCAATACGAAACAGTTGTTAATGAGACATTTTACATTCTTTTCTTTTTTTTTAAATTTTATTTATTTTTTAAAAGATTTTATTTATTTGACAGACAGAAATCACAAGCAGGCAGAGGCAGACAGAGAGAGGAGGAAGCAGGCTCCCCGCCGAGCAGAGAGCCTGATGCGGGGCTCGAAGCGGGGCTCGATCCCAGGACCCTGGGATCGTGACCTGAGCCGAAGGCAGAGGCCTTAACCCACTGAGCCACCCAGGCGCCCCTACATTCTTTTCTTATGCATGAATATCTCAGTGCAGGCTAACCACATTTCAAGTGCTCCATGGTCACATGTGGCCAGTGTACTAGGCTGTAAACATATAGACAGAGACTTGGCCCAGGGGTTGTGAACCCTGATGTCCCATTCTGGTGCTGCCACTTCCTACGTGTGCAATTTTAGACAATTTCCTAATCCCCTTGAACTCAGGTCTCCTCAAGTATAAAATGAGGAAATGAGCCAACCAAGTCCAAGATATCCAGGAAGCAGCCTTCTTAGTTCCTGGCACCTAGTAGCATGCCTAAATCTATAAAACTATCACTAAAGCTAGTATTCTCATTAGGTAAAGTTCCTATCATTCAGGTAATTCAAGACCATACTCTGGTAGAGATTACTGGTGTTGAGTATCTTCATTCAATTTTTTAAAATTTTTATTTGTTTTTTTTAAATTTCTTTTCAGTGTTCCAGAATTCAACATTCATGCACCACACCCAGTGCTCCATGCAAAACATGCCCTCCATAATACCCACCACCAGGCTCACCCACACTCCCACTCCCACTCCCCTCCAAAACCCTCAGTTCCTCAATTTTTAAAATAAAAACTTGTGTTGAAAACCTGTGTTATAGACCTTGGGCTTGGATATGGGAGCTTGATGTTTAAAAAGGCAAAGTTCCCCTATAAGGGATAGGGTGGGGGGAAGGCAGCATTTAAGAACTTTCTGTACCATCTTTGTAATTTTTCTGTAAACCAAAACTGCTCTAAAAAATAAAGCCTATCTATTAAAAAGAAAACAGGGACGTTGCCATTTAGTTGATTACAATCAGCACCATTGTTAACCTGACTTGACCTTTGTGCAAATTAGACACAGGCATACTTACTTAAAGGATTTTATCGCCAACAAACAGAAAGTTGTGCTAACAAATACATAAATATTATTTATGTATTTATAAATACATCTTCATTAACTATGAGATGTATGGTGCTCTTAAGAGTTGTACTGTGTAAAACCTTCACAACAGTGCACAGTGGTCCTGCTTTACCATTGGTCCACTGGGGAAGGTAGACAAATTAGTTACTAGACTAAAATGATAAAACAAGTCCAATAAGCGGGAAAAGATAAAACAATGGGAAGGCAGAGGATAAAGATGTTACAGGTCTGGGGAGACAACTGGAAGAGGTCAGGAAAGAAACGGGGGGAGTAGATGAATGAAATAGTCATCTGTGCTAGATTCCAGCTAAATGCTTTGGCCCACTGTGACTCATCCATGATTCTGTTATCACTGTTTTGTGAAAGTTGTGTATCTGTTTATGGGTTCCTGAGCCTCTCTCTGAGGACTGAGGTTGCCTCACTTGTACCACAAAGCCAAGTGAAAATGAGACCCACCTTATAACTCTCCTAGGACAACATTTATAACCGGAAATGATTCTTCTCTCCTCTGGGTGTCACCACCACCTAAAAGAGGCCTTGAAACATGCTGGGCTCCCACAAAGCCTAAAACCTTGACCTACTAGCACTAGGGCTTGAGCAAAATTATTTTCCCAGTGATGAGTGACTTTGGGCTCTTTCATCCATGTCTTTTTGCCCAGATGCCCATGGAAACATATTTTGCAGCTAGCCGACTCCTGGTTGGTACCCATTGGTGTCAATGCTATGGCATTACCCTTATTCACTAGACAAATCCATTAAATCAGCTTCAGCTCCATGGAGAATTGCCACCACAATCCATTTCCATATGAGTCTTTCCTAATGAGTTACAAAAGTTCAAGCATGAGGCAAGGACTCATGTCTATGGTAAAGGTGAAAATGGAGTGTGGAGCCCTGACATCTACATCCTGCTGCAGTGCAGTAGGAGAAGCAGAGTTCCAGAGAACTTTGCCTCTAGTATTCATGCAGTCAGGGTCAAATCCAGTAGCTACCTCAAACCACAACCTCATAGGAACAGTCATGGCCTTGCAAAGAACTGAGAAGAGACAGTTTGGTGAGACCACATCCACCAGAGGTTATGCTCACATCCTAGCCACCATGCAAACAATCAAACTATGAAAGAAAAATCAGAGCTGTTAAACAACAGAACAGACATAGCCTTTCCAATCTCACAGAGGCTGTCAGAAGACATGGGTTTGAAAAGGTAATCTTTAAAATGGGTAGCAATCTCCATTTCCATTGTATTTTTCCAGAAATAATCCATTTTCATTCTACCGCTCCAGCAAATTGTTTGTGGGTATCTACAAAAATAGTAAGTGAACAAAAATATTGATGGGAATTATACATAGCAACTTCAGAGCAGTTGCTAAATCTCATAGAGGTTAGTGGTGGCTAGGCAGGTGGACATCTGTTCTATTAGTATCTGTATGTTTAAAGTATTTCATTAATAAACTTTCACCGAAGAAGATATATGGATGGTAAATAGGCACTACAAAGATGTTCTAGATAATCAGTCATCAGAGAAATTAAAATTCAAACTACAAAGGATTCCATATACCTATTAGAATGTCTAAAATAAGAAAGAAAAAACCTAACAAAAATAATGTTGGCAAGGATGTAGAGCAACCAAAACCCCCATATGTTGTTGGTAAGAAGACAAAATGCTACAGCCACTTTGGAAAACAGTTTGCTGGTTTTTTATAGAGTTAAACATGCACTTAATATATGATCAAAATAACCTACTTCCAGGCATTTAACCAAGAAAACTGAAAACTTATTTTCACATACACATGAATTAACCTTAAATGAATTTTTTTTAAGTAAAAGAAGTGAGACTCAAAAGCTACTTACTGGATGATTCCACTTACATGACATTCTGAAAATGGCAACAAACTATCAAGACAGAGAAGAAATCAGTGGATGCTGGGTATGAGAATGGGGGGGAAGTTTTGGGGAATGATGGGACTGTCCAGACTCCTAACTGGTGGTGGTTACCCAATTCTACACCAGAAAGAGTGAATTTTATGCATGTAAGGTTTTTTTATTAATATACATCAAAGGTAGTTAATTCTGGTGGCTTCAGATCTCAGAAAAATAATTTTCCCTTCTGAAGAATGTCATAGAATTCTATTTTTCTAGTAGCTAATATTCCTAGAAGAACCAAATTTAAATTTAAAAAAAAAAAAAGGAAAAGACAGAAGTTGCTGTCACTAACAATTTTTGCAGAGCTTATACATTTCGAAGTCAAGAAATAATCAGAAAATAGAAGCAAACTTCTAAGCAGGCCATGGCAGAGTACCTTGAGCAGTTTACATTGGAAGGCACCTCAAAGATCAAATGTTAGTTTGTTTGTTCTTTATAGATGTGGAAGCTGAGACCACATTTGAACAGTATAAAGTTGGGCCTGGACATCAGCTCTTTGAGGCCATGACTGCCAACTAATGTGCTGTAGGATGGGGTGGGGCAGAGAAAGGAAGGAGGAAAGTGGATTGCAGGGGACAAGTACCCCTGAGGTGTCCACCTAGTGCTGTTTTGCATCCAACATCAAACCCTCATGTTCCTTTCTCCTTCCTTGGCATTTCTATCTTGCTGAACAAAATTCAAAATGCCAAAACCCAGTAAATCTTCAGCAGCTCCAGCCAGGTATTCTCAAGAAAAGTCAAAATTCCACATTTTCCTTGGCCCACTTACCTGCTGGCTTCCCCAAGAAGTGTAGAAACAGAGCTTTGGTTTGAAGATGCGGTGAGGACCCTAGCCATTCAACATTTTCTTTCCACTTTTATAGTTGGAGCTGCTGCTGGTACTGGCTTTGTCTTCCTCATTCTATATCCCCAGCCACCAACAAAAGCTATCACTGATAATCAATAAAGATTGGCAGAGAAACTGGGCTTGCACTGCTGTACTGGGCTCTGCCCCACAAGTGAAGGCGGGGAGGAGATTCCAGAGATATTAAAAGATAACATCTTTTTGGGGAGAGGTAACTAATCTTAGATGGATTATTTGTGCAGGACCTCAGGTCACATGCACTCAGAATCTTTTATAGTTAACATGAGAATTCCCTTAATTGTGGAATGAGCAAAATTATTTCTTTTTTTTTATTTTATTTTTTATAAACATATAATATATTTTTATCCCCAGGGGTACAGGTGAGCAAAATGATTTCTAAAGAGAGTTAATTCAATTCACTTTGGCCATCAAGAATACACAGAGACCCTTTCTTTGCTGTGCAGTATCTGCTATTCCTTATGCCAGTGGGGTTGTCTATGAGACCCTCCTAGTTGTGCAAGGCAACAAGGCAACAAAGACCAATGAAGAGGTAGCTATCCCATAGCCAATGTGAGTGGTCAGAGATCAGTGACTCATTCCTCCACCAATGATCATTTTTCATGAAGACTTGATCAACTGTCTGCTTTTACAGGGAAAACGCCCAGGTCAAACACAGTTCTTCAGTTATTAGAAATGCTGTGTGGTTTCCCCAAAATCCTTGGCCTTATTCATTGGCATAAGCTGAAATGCAAGAGGCAATTTGCCCACACGCTGGCCTCATTTGTTTTTGATTAACATTTACTTTGGGTTAGAAAGGGAAAGAAATAAATTTTTATGAATACAAGGTATTACAGCCCATGTTCAGGTTTGCAAAGTTGCAGAGGCAGGACTTCTAACTCCAGAGTTTCAGATGGAGTAAAGCCAGTAGGCATTGGATGCCACTTTAAGAATCATAGAACTAAATTTTGCATATAGGATTGGGAAGCTCTCCAGGAAAGAGCCCATGCTCTTTGACTTCTGGGACCCAGTCAGGGCCTGGTCGTGGGCTCCTGGCTCAGGAAACACTTGTTCCATGAATGAAACTGCAAACACTTGGTGGTGGTCACACATGCGAGCATCTGCTTTTGGGCTCCACAGTTATATCAGTTTGTTGCCACGCATGACTTCTGAACTAAACACTCTCTGCTGATTTGACCCAGAGTAATATTTGGCTGTTTCTTCAAATCAATTTCATTGGCAACTACCATGAATATTCAAAAGAACATGCTAAGTTCTGCTCTGGAAAGCATTCCAAAGGAGGATATCGGGCTCTGAGCCAGGTACAGAGTATAGGGATATGAAGGAAACTTGGACTTTAATCTTTTTTTTTAATACATACAACATAAAATTTACCATTTACCATTTTCAACTGTACAGTTCAGTGGTATTAAGTATATTCACGTTGTAAAACCGACACCACAGAAGTCTTCTCATCCTACAGAACTGAAACTCTGTATCCACTAAGTCTTCATCCTTCACCCCACCCCCAGCCCCTGGCAACAACTATTCTACTTCCTGTGTCTATGACTGTGACTACTTTAGGTACCTCATGTGAGTGGAATCATACAGTTTCTATCCTTTTGTGTTTGGCTTATTTCATTGAGCACAATATCTTCAAAGTTCACGCATGTTGTAGCATATGTCAGAATTTCCTTCTTTGTTAAGATGGAATACTATTCCATTATATGCATGTATCACATTATGTTTATCCATTTATCCTACAGTGGATAGATACTCGGGTTGCTTCATGTTTTACTATTGTGAATAATGCTGCTATGAACATGAGGACACAAATATCTCTTCAAGGTTCTGCTTTCGTATCTTTTGGCTATATATCCAGAAGTGGAATTGCTCAATCATATGTTAATTCTATGGGTAATTTTTTGAGAGACCACCATACTGTTTTCCACACTAGCTATACTGTTCTAAAGTTCCACTCTGTCTTAGTTCATTTGGGCTGGTATAACAAAATACCACAGACTAGGTAGCTTACCAACAACAAACATGTATTTTCTCACAGTTCTGAAGGCTGGGGAGTCCAAGATGATGATGCTGGCAGACTTGGTGCTGTGTAAGATGAAAAAAAAATGGAGTCATTTATGTCAAAGAGTTTTAAGATGGAGCTGGGAAGCCATGAAGGAGATGAGCCTTATATATGTGCTCCCAGGAGGAACCATGAACTTCTGAACTGGGCCAAACTTCACGTATTCCAAGGACTCAGCCCAAAATTTACACCTGTAACTTTCTACAGTAGGGAACTTTGTTTAGTGACAGCCTTAGCAACCAATTATATTCAGTCAAGATTCGTTTTTTGCAATCAATACCAATCCAAATTCTTTGTAAATAACCTCAGCCATAGCAACACGTCACCAGAGGCAAGGGAAACAAAAGCAAAAATGAATTTTGGAACTTCATCAAGATAAAAAGCTTCCTCACATTGAAGGAAACAATCAACAAAACTAAAAGGAAGTCTATGGAATGGGAGAAGATATTGACAAATGACATATGCTATAAAGAGTTAGTATCCAAACTCTATAAAGAACTTATCAACTCAATACCCCAAAAATAAATAATCCAGTTAAGAAATGGGCAGAAGACATGAATAGATATTTTTCCAAGGAAGATCTCCAGATGGCTTACAGACACATGAAAAAATGTTCAACATCACTCATCATCAGGGAAATAAAAATTAAAGTCACACTGAGATATCATCTCACGTCTGTCAGAATGGCTTAAATTAACAATGCAAGAAACAACAGGTATTGGGAAGGATGTGGAGAAAGGGGCACCCTCTTGCACTGTTGGTGGGAATGCAAACTAGTGCAGCCACTTCCTCAAAAAGTTAAAAATAGAATTACCCTACAATCCAGCAATTGCATTACTAGGTATTTTTCCAAAGACTACAAAAATACAGACTTGAAGGGGCACATGCACCCTGATGTTTATAGCAGTATTATCAACAATAGTCTAACTATGGAAAGATCCCAAATGTCTATCATGGACATGATGTGGTGTATATATACAATGGAATGTTACTCAGCCATTAGGAAGAACGAAATCTTGTCATTTGCAATGACATGGATGGAGCTAGGGTGTATTATGCTAAGCAAAATAAGTCAGCCAGAGAAAAACAAATACTGTATGACTTCACTCACATGTGGAATTTAATAAATAATGCAAATGAACATATGGGAGGGGGATAAAAAGAGAGAGGGAAACAAACCATAACAAACTCTTAAAGGTAGAGAAAAATTGAAGGTTTCTAGAGGGGAGGTGGGCAGGGGGATGGGTTAGATGGATGATGGGTATTAAAGAGGGCACTTGTTATTATGAGCGTAGGGTGTTGTTTGTAAGGGATGAGTCAGTCAATTCTACTCCTGCAACCAATATTGCACTGTATGTTAACTGGAATTTAAGTAAAATCTTGAAGAAAAATGACAAAACAGAGCAAAACAAAACCCAACAAATTATTTGTAAATAATATATACTAGTACTCCCCTGTGTCTTTAAAAACCCTTAACTTTGGGGCACCTGGGTGGCTCAGTGGGTTAAAGCCTCTGCCTTCAGCTCGGTCATGATCCCAGGGTCCTGGGATTAAGCCCCACGACATGGAGCCCCGCATCGGGCTCTCTACTCAGTAGGGAGCCTGCTTCCTCCTCTCTCTCTGCCTGCCTCTCTGCCTACTTGTGATCTCTGTCTGTCAAATAAATAAATAAAACTTAAAAACAAAACAAAAACCCTTAACTTTTATTCCCCAAGGGGTCACTATGTGGGTTGCTGTCCAAATCTGTGTTCGTAATTGTAATTCTGAGACCCCAATCATTGCTTTATTTTTATTTTAGCTCTGCTTCTTTTCTTGGAGACATTGCCTAGTGTGAGCTTCCTGCTTCATAGACAGCTGTCTTCTTTCTGTGTCCTTACATGGTAGAAGGGTAGAGGGTGCTCTCTGGGGTCTCTCTTACAGGGACACTAATCACATGAGGGTGGAGACCTCATGACCTAATCAAAGGCCCCACCTCCTCACACCATCAGCTTGGGGATTAGGGTTTCAGCATATGAATTGGGGGGGGAACCAGGCATTTTTCCTGTAACACACCAGGATTTTATTTTCTTTAAGTTAGAGACAGACAGATGTAAGATGCAATTTTAACCAAATAGAGTTCTTGGAAAGGAGGGGTGTGTGCAGTGACAGTAGGAGCCCAGAGTCAGTACACCAGTCTGCAGACATTTTCAGGGCAGGCTTCATCAAAGACAATGTGTCCTTAGTCACATTTTGTAGGAGGGCACATTGACAGGAGACAGTGGTGAAAACAAACACACTGCATGGACCTCCCCAGAGTTGTGTCCAGAGAGGGACCCCTGCATTTTGTCCCAGGGAGCCCCAGCAGCCAGTGGTTGCCATTCTTCTGTGATGTCAGGAGAATCCCGTTATATGAAATCTCCAGCAACCTGGCAAGAGTTAGAGAGTTCAATATTCCTTTTGGACAGATTGGCTTTGGGTGGGGGGAGGTCAAGGAAAGGAGATCTAGGAAAGTTAAGTAAAAGGATACTGATTGCACTCTGCTGTTGTCAGCGCTCTGCTGATGTGAATTCAGGCTGCTTTGAGGATAATAAACATAGCAACATATAAAAAGCAAGTATTTACAGGTATTAGCTTATCAGTTCATGAAAATAACTCTGTGGAGGTACTATCATCATCCCATTTTACAGATGGGATGATCAGCCTATTTTAACGATGGCCAGAGAGAGGTCAGATAAATTACCTAAGTTCAAACAGTTTTTAAAGAGGAACTCAGATTCAACTCCAGGCAGTCTGGCCCCAAAGCCCATGGTCTTCTTGCACTTTTTTGTCCTCTCTGCAGGAAAAAACAGTATTAAACAACCAGACAATTGCCATCAAGGTACTTGCAATGTAGTTGGGGATATAGATAATAAAGAAACAAATAAATAAGTAGCTATGAGATATATATATATATATATATATATATATATATATATCTCACAATATATATTATAATATACATATCATGATATTGTATATTGCACATGGGGTGGCAAATGTTTTCTATAACATTCCAGATAGTAAATATTTTAGGTTTTGTGGGCCAAGATGGAAAACTGAGGATATTATGTAGTCACAGGTACTCAAGGGCACTTTTGGAGTGTGAAAGCAACCACAAATATACATGAAATTGAGAGAGCATGGCTCCAACTGAACTTTATTAGTAGATGTTAAATTTTCTATGTTTTATGAGACTGGGCACCAGAATGGGGCTGCTATGCTGACTGGAGATGTCTCTTACCTTCATTTTTGTCTTAGATTTGTCTCTATGTGATATTATATAAAAAGTCTACAAACTTCAGCTCATGGGTCAAATTCAGGCCACAGGATTTGATTTTTTTTTCAACCATTAAAAAACCATGAAAACTATTTTTAGTCCCTTGGTATTGGACTTCATTAACCACTTTTCATTACCGACAGTGGCACCAGGAATTGCCTTAAACGAACCTATCTACTCAAAGTGTCAATACAATGACTTTAAAATCATTTATTATATTTCAAGCATATTTTGCCATAGAGAGGATAGCACAGTGAGCCTATGAACTCATTACCAGCTCCAATAATTCTCTAATCATGGCCAGTCTTGTTCCATTTGTGAGCATCCCACTGACTCCTAACCCCAGGATTGTTTTGAAATAAATCCCTGTCATCTCACTGAGAAATAAGTTAATTTTAGAAGCATGCAATTCCTCAGGGCACCTGGGTGGCTCAGTCTGTTAAGCATCTGCCTTCAGCTCAGGTCATGATCCCAGGGTCCTGTGAATGAGCCCTGTTTTTGGCTCCTTGCTCAGCGAGGGTTCTCCTTCTCCCTCTGCCTTCTGGTTGCTCATGCTCGCTCCCTCTCACGCACTCACTGTCTCTCTCAAATAAATAAATAAAATCTTAAACACACACACACACACACACCCCTGAAAAACCTTTTATTTAACATAAATACATCATGAAAACCAATTGAAGATTATATTAAAAATCTATCAGTTTGCATTGTTTAGATTCATCTGGGTTTACCAGAGAAAACATAACCTTAATACTCCCTGATATAAATACACCAAATACATTCTGCTGATCTAGTTGCATTGAAAATCAGATTTTAGTGCATATTCATTTTCTAAAAATATGGCCAAAAAGAGCATCACGCAATATTAGAAAACATAGGAAATTTAATTTCCCAGGAGAGCTCTATTTATCTGCTGATAGGGGTGTAACAAAACCACTCCCTGCCAAAGTTCGTTGTGGAAACTGAAAGAAACTCAAGGAAAGAGTGTTTGGAGCAGCTCTTCTGAAAAGACAGTTACAAGATGGACTCAATATAGCCACCAGGCAGTGTAGTTGAGATCAAAATCTTCTGTAATAATTAGCACTTTTTAATCTGTAAACCATGACTTGGGTAATAATGACGTATCTAAAATTTGTCCCGAACATTTCACCCAACAAAGTACTTTTACTTTTACTGCATGTATTTATTTCTATCCCTTGGGGTTCACAAGAGGAATCTTGTATCAAAACATAGGTGCAGTTCAGATCACAGCACATTCTTTCAAACTACCAGTCTGGGCACATCCCCATACATGAGGAGCAGGCTTCCATTCTGCAGCTGCCTTGAGAAACTGGGTTGCTGGTAAGGCTATGGACATCCTGCCATTTATGGTTTGGAAGTATTGCCCTCACATTGCTTAAGACAAAATTAACTTCCTCTCATGGAAATCATTCAGGCTGTTGACAAATGCTCTGGTTCTTCACCTTGCAAGCACCAAGTAAGACTATACTCCCTTGCTATCTTTACAGATTAGCACAACCATATTCCTTACTTTGATGGATGAGGTGTGCGAACAAGTGATACGTGTTACCTCCAAGTAGGCCAAGAGCTAATATGCAATAGCCACAGTCTCCTTTTCCTAAACAAGGGGATCCTGGAAACTTGTGTGTGGACAAGGGCTTCTTCCACCTGTTGCACCAGTGGCCATCATAGTCAGGTTCTGCTGCCAGCTGCCTTGGGATTCCTTCCTCTAATCCTATTGCCCTTCCAGCCCAGCAACCCATGTCCTGCTCTTGTCCTCAAGCTGCAGAGAGTTGCCCGGTTGAGCTCCAAACATGTGTTTTTTTCTGTTTGTTTTGTTTTGTTTTTTGCTTTTTGTTTTACCTCTTATATGCTTAGGGAGGAGATTAAATGAGTCCATCAAACAGGGGGGTTTGAGGAGGGCAGACAGGGCTGAGTGATAGTTAGCTCCAGACCTGCCTGCCCTTCATGCACCAGGTAGGGGATGCATTTGCTGTCCTTCCCTCTGATGCTTGAAATGAATCTGTTGGTTTGGTTTCCATTCTCTGTTAGTACTTCCTCCACACCAAGACATGCCACCACAAGGATCTCTCATAGATGTAGGGTGGCCACCACCCCAGATTGCCCAGGACTGACTGAGGAGGTTCTGGGACCCAGGAATTTCTATTTTGTTTGTTTTGTTTTGTTTTGTTTTAAGATTTATTTATTTATTTTAGAGAGAGAGTGAGAGAGAAAGAGAGATGAGTGGAAGGGGTAGAGGGAGAGGGGTTCTCAGGCAGAGTCTGCACTGAGCTCAGAGTCTAACTCGGGGCTTGATCTCAAGATCCTGAGATCATGACCTGAACCAAAACCAAGAGTCAAACGCTTCACTGACTGCCATCCAGGTAATCCAGGAATTTCTGTTGTAAAAATGTGAAGGTCCCAGGCCAATCAGAACTAGTCAGTCACTCACTCTTTTCTTGTGTTTATGGCCCCCATCACTGCATTTGTCATAGGCATAATTAACTATTTCAACCTTCATATTCCTTTTCTTCCCCCTTTAATATGCCATTTCCTTTGCTTCTTTACTTGCTCCCAGGTTGTGGTTATGCAATAGGAAAAATGGGAAGAATAAATGCTAAGTGACCTTCTCAGGTAGCTTAGATTCAAGGAATCAGAGAAATTGAGAGCAAGATTAGCCATGTTCTAGAACTTTCTAACAGGTGAAAGTTTGGTGGAAGTGCTAAGGGAAGGGAAGACTTCTCAAATCCCCTGAATTACAGTAAAGGGCCCTGGGAAGGCTTTCATTCTCTGACAGTACCATGTCATACTAGAATATTACACAACTAGGATTTCTCAGCTGTGCAGGATGACCTATCCCACTTTGCCCAAGACTGAAGGTCTTGCTGAGACATACTCTGGCCTGCCATAAATCCTTTCCTCCAATCTCTTTCAATCCTCTACTCTCAACAATGACCTCTTCATTGTCCAGCATCCACTATTCTGGTAGCAGAACCAGCCTCTCCAAATGGTGTGGCCCACTAGTCACATCCTGTTTGCAAATGTTTGGAGTGCAGGCGGGAGGTAGGTTCAGAGTAGACTAAGGAGGTATGGGCCATGTGTGCCTGGCTGCCTTCTGGGAGAGGCCCAGGTCTGAGGACAGGCAATGAGTTTAGCAGGCAGGAGCAGGTGTTTCTGATTTTCCCCTTAGTGACTTCCTTGGGGCAGGTTATTGCAGCTCTTTCCAGATGTGTCCATCTGCAAACAGTGCATGATGAAGTCAATGCATGGAATAAGATGGAATTTACTTCAGGGAAACTCTAACCCCTACCACTACTACCAGCTAAAAAATACCAGTGAGAAGTACTCCTGCCTGTGGAGCTAGGGTGCTGCCCCAAGCAGGCAGCTTCCCAGTTTAGGACTCCACTAGGCAAAGGTCTGGCCTAATTCCCAAAGATGTAGGACCACCCTTTGTTCTGTCCCCATTCAAGCTCGGGGACTCTCCTCTTAGCTGTGGGGTCCGGCCCATATCTTCCATGTGCTCCCCATCAGCTTCTGACCTAAGATCCACCTGTATGCAGTAAGGCAAAAAGGGAACCCCCAGGCCACAGCATGTGGGAATGGAGAACAGATGCCCTAACTTCCTTGCCTTCATTGATAGGGTGGATTCTGATACTGCCAACTACTTTCAGTGTCCAACACCTACCTCCACAACTGACCTCCTCCCTCCCTCCCCTGCCTCGCTCTCCACTCCCCATCCTACATCACCTCCCAGACACTTGCTCATGATTCTTGTCTCAGTGTCATTATCTGGGGACAACAGGCCCTCCCTCAGTCATCATGGATGAGTCTATTATTGGGTCAGTGTATCTAAAGCTTTGAGAGCCTATTTTGGTTTTTATTTTTAAAAATTTTATTTGTTTATTTGACAGAGAGGGAAAGAGAGTGCGTACAAGGAAGGGAGCAGCAGGCAGAGCGAGAAGTAGACTCTCCACTGAACAGAGAGCCCAACATGGGGCTCGATTCCAGGACCCTGGGATCATGACCTGAGCCAAAGGCAGACTCTTAACTGACTGGGCCACACAGGTACCCTGAAAATGTATTTGTATATTCATATTTCACAACTCTTGGGAAAATAAGGTTCATAATTTCACTGCATTATTTGTGAAATACTCTATTCTAAGTCTGTCTCTTCCAGCCTTCATCCCCACCGTCACCTCCTAATTGCAAGGACAGCCATTCTTGTCTTCATGTTCCCTCATCAGAAACTTAGTTCATTTGAGCTACTATAACACAATTACCACAGACTGGAGGGTTTAAACATTAAATATTTATTTATCACATTTCTAGATGCTGGTAGTATAAGACCAAGGTGCCAGCTAACCTGGTATCTGGTCCCACTCCCTGTTTTGTAGACAGCTCTTTCCCCACTGTCTTCAAATGTATCCTCAAAAACTTCTTTGAAGGGCACTAATCCCATTCATGAAGGCCCCAATGATCTGATCATCTCTCAAAGACCCCATCTCCTAATGCAATCA